CGCGAGGGCTGGGGCCGCGCTGCCTCCCGCGCTGCGCTGCGCTCCGCGTTCGCCTATTGATCTGCTCCGCGGCGGCGGCGGCGGCGGCGGCGAGGAGCCAGGTCAGGTCCGAACAGATTGGCGGAGATTCCCGGGGCTCCGGGCTCTGATTGACATCTCCACGGGGCCGCAAGCCCCTCCTCTCCGCGCCGCGCTCCCTCCTCTCCGCAGCCGGAGCTGCCTCTGCTCGCGCCGCGCTTCTCGCCGCCCTCCTCTCCCGGAGCGGCGTCGCGCCTCGCTTCCTTCGCCCTCCCCTAGTGTTCACCTCCCCCCTCCTCGCCCTCTCTCTCCCCTCCCCTGCCCGCGGTCCTCTTCCCCCCTGGATCGCTTCCGCTCCTTCGCGCTTTTCCACTCTCCAGGACGCTGGGAAACTCTCGCCTTTCCTAATTCTCCCCTTCTCTTTCCCTTTCTCACTCTTGCTTTTCCTCCCTTTTCTGTTTCCTTCACTTTTTCTTCTTTCCGCTCCTGTCTTTCAAATGTCTCTTTACTCACGCAATACTCCTCCCCCCGACCTTCCGGGCCTGGGCGCCCTGGGTTAAGGCGGCCTAACGTCGTGGACTTGGGGTGCCGTGCTGGGGGTGTGTGTCCGTGTCCGCGTCTGTGTGTCCGTCCCCGCCCTTCTAACCCCCTCCCTCGCTCTTCCCCAAATCTCAGGTCTGACGTTGCGCCCTCTTATTCGACTTTTCCTCTCGTCTCCTCCCGGAGTCGCCAATCGCCAGGGCGCCTTGCAGGCGAGGCCGCCCAGCCCCGAGGATACCGCGCGCAGGGCGGGGCGGGAGCCGGGGCGCTGCGAATCCCTTCCCGCCCCCTCCTGCCTGCGCCGGGAGGGGGAGCGAGAGACGCGGGGACACGGGTTAGTGCGGGGTCAGCTCGCCCCTCCCGCTGCCCGCCTCTCGGCAGCGCGGGGCCGGGGTCGGGACCGGACCCCGGGCCAAAGCAGGCTCTGGGGCGTCCCTCTGCGCGGGCCCCTTTTCCAGGTGGCACCTCTGGACTCCCCGCCACTCAGCAGCGTAGGGAGGGAGCTAGAAGAGTGCGTGAGAGGTGAGGGAGGGAGCCCTAATCGCGTTTTCAAAGGCCGTCTCACTGCCCGGGGGCGCGAAGCAGCCCTCCACTCAGGAGGACCAAATCCCCAAATCAGCCACGTTAATGCCGCCCAGTGTGGTGCGAATCCTTTGATAGAGATGGCGGGCTCTTGCCGGGGGCTGAAGGTGGACGCCCCGGGGGTCTTGGGGAGCAGGGACGAGTAAGTGGAGCTGGCTGGCGCCCTACGCGGGCGTGGAATGGGGGAGAGGCAAGGAGGCGGACGGCGGAGGCCGCAGGAACTTTTGGAAAGCGCTTTCAGGAGTTTCTATATTGGCGTTTTCGGTCTGTAGAGATCCTTCGTTTCACGACCCCTTCCCCCAGCTCCCCAGTCCCCGCGCCAACCCGTTTTCTTTCTGCGTGGATCTTCCCACCGCCTGGGGTGGGGAAGGGAGGCAAGAGTTTGGTTTTACGGTGGGATATTAACTAAATCGAACCTGAAATCCCCGTATCCGGGCGCCCACCTTCACGCACTGGGGTGTGCAGCCGAGAGCGGCACGGAAATTCCTAGGATTGCGGCGGCTCGGGGCTAAATGCTTTAGGCCGCGACGGCGACCCACGCGCGGGCCATGCCTGCGGCAGGCGCGCCCCGGGGACAACATAGGGGCGGCGACTCTGCGGTGGAGTGGCCAGCCCCAGCTCGCAGGCGGAAACCGGCCTCCTGGCACTGATCGATAGAAGAATCGAATCCGAATTTCACCAGAGTGGAGTGGATCGGAGGGTTTTGGCCCTGGCTGTCTCTGATTACAGCAGCTCTGCGGAGCCCAGTTTGGGAATAAAAGATTGTTCTGCCACCGCCGAGGACACCCAGTTTTGACACTCCCTGCCCCCTCTCCCCCGCCCGCCTCCTCCGGGTCTTGGCACAGGCCCGCGACTCCAGTAGGTGTGAACGCTAAAAAAATTGGGGGGAAAGAAAGGGAAAGTTTGGGGACGAGCAAGTTTGCGGTCCGATGGGGGAAAGAAACTGCGGTATTCACAAATTGGGTTTGAGCTGCTTCCCTGTCCCACCATTCTCTGCCTGATGCCGGGCTTCCTGCTGCCTTTACTGGAGCCTCGCCAGAGGAGGGGACATCAGGGGCCGCTCTAGCCTTGAAACGTCTCCTCGGCGCCTGATTTCGTTTCCGGTTAAACCTCTCAGAGAATATCATAGGGAATCTTGGGCTCACCTTCTCGTGAAAAATCTTGGGGTTATAAAATTGAGGGTAACATTATTTCAGGGGTGTCAGACCTCGAGAGCCTCGACGGCCCCGAAGTCCTAGAGTTTGCACAAACTGGTAGCACCAGACTGGGGCGGAGTGAGCAGAGAGCGACATTCCAAGGTGGGGTAACTGGCGCTGCGCTGTAAGTGCCCGGGTGAGACGCCCGGTATTTAATTCAGCTCTTCCAGAAGGAAGAGAAAAAACAATAATGAGCCTCGGAGATGCTCCTTCCGCATTAACCAGCTATCGACCTGGCTGCGTCGGACTGCGGGCGGCGGGAAGGAGGCCTGGGAACGGCGAGGCCGTTCTCCGGGAATCAGTCACGCCATTTGGGGGGTGCCCATGGCCCAGCCGGGGGGGGGGAGCCTGAAGACCCAGACGCGGACCCAAAGATCTCCCTTAATTAGATCCCTTCAGGCGCCCCAGGCCCAAAGCTGAAGCGGCCTCCCGGGTACCCTAGTTGCCAACTGGGAATAGCCCTGGCCTGGCCTTGCCATCCGCGCCCCACGTGGGGACTCAGCGTCCCAGGTAGACAAGCCCCGACGTGACGCTTGTCCCCCAACTCGACCGGGCCAGTGGAGCATGGCTCCGGACTGAACTCGCAGGTCCGCGGGCAGTCGAACATTTTCCAGGGATTTTTAATCCAAGAGATTAGGTGAGAGTGACACACTGGTAGAGGGAGGAAAAGCAGGTGCACGGAAAGTTGATTTGGGAAACACATGAGGACACAAGACGAGCCGCAAGCAGAAGCTTCTTCATCATCTCGCCTTCTTCCAATGTTCCCAGCGCACAAAGCTCTTTGGAGACTCTCTGCAAAAGCTCTTTCGACGCAGCCTAGGGCGCGGGGACTGCAGGAGAGGGTGTCCATCCCACACAATTGGCGCACACAGCATCGCGCGGCTGACGCAAACTGGGAGCCGCTGCCCGACGTGTGTCCAGGGCCTGCTGCCGCCAGGCTCCGGGGCTGTGCCGCGCAGTGCACACGAGCGAGCCCGGAGCCACCAGGCCCCTTTCCTGCCCTCTCCTCGCCCTGTCCCACGGTGCGCGCGCGTTCCCGTCGGGGGGAGCCGCTGCGGCCCTGGGTCTACCAGCCGAGGCCCATCTTCTGTCCTTCTCTCCCAGGGCCGGAGTCCCCGGGCGGCGGCGCGGGCCCGCTATCCCTCCGCTTCCTGCAGACGCCGCGGCGCGCGCTCCCACCGCTCCCTCCCCCCGCGCTCGGGTTACAGGTTAATGAAATGCTCGTTTTCCTCAGTCATTTGTTTTGTTTTCCTGCAAAGTTCTGATAAGTAGCTAACCAACGAAGCTTGTAATTACAATCTTACAGAAACCGGGCCGATCTGTATATAAATCTCACCATCCAATTACAAGATGTAATAATTTTGCACTCAAGCTGGTAATGAGGTCTAATACTCGTGCATGCGATAATCCCCTCTGGATGCTGGCTTGATCAGATGTTGGCTTTGTAATTAGACGGGCAGAAAATCATTATTTCATGTTCAAATAGAAAATGAGGTTGGTGGGAAGTTAATTTCTCTCCGCTCTGTGAAGCGTAGACAAGAATTTAATGATTTAATTACAGTTGTAAGCCCTTTCCATGAGACTTAAATTGAGCTGAGAATATTTTTTTCCTTCTCTCTCTCTCTTTCGCGTTCTCCCTCTCCGCTATTAGCAGCGGCACCGACGCCCGTGTGCGTGGCCTGGCGAACGCACCGGGAGGGATTCGTATTTGGCCAGGGACCCGGACTCCGAGCATCCCAGGAGGCGTAGGCCGGGGCCCTCCAGAGCAGCCCCGGGCCGTGCTGCCGCTCCCCACCAGCCGCCAGGGCCTCGGACGCCTTCGCTGGGTCCCGAGAAGCGACGTGGAAACTTGGGGGGAAACTTTGCCAACTTCGCTCTCGGCGAGGGAGAGGCCGGCCGCCCGCACGGACGCGGCGCGCGGGGTGGGACTCGGGCCGGGCCTGGGTACCCGGGAGCGGACCGGGCTGCCTAAGAAGGGGCATGAGGCCGGCCGGCCCTTTGCACCCCCGCGCCGACCCTGAGACTCCTCGACCCGGCCACTGTCCTGGGTCTCCCACCGGCCCGCAACGCGCAGCGACCGGACTGGCCTGGATCGAAAAACCCGACCCTCAACGCGAATGTTCTTGTATTTCTCTACCTCTGCAGGATCATCCTTTCCCAGCTGACTTGAGTAGTGTCGTCTGTCCCTCTGCACTTTCTATATATTTGATTTCCAGGTCATTCATGTTTCCTCTCTTTGCTGCGCTCCCTCATTCGTTCTGTTTTATACTTTTTCTCTGGACCACTTTTTAATTGAATTTTCTGAGTTCTGCTCCCTTCCTTCCCCCTTATTTATGTTACTTTTTTCCTCTCTCAGACTCTGTGACTGTGTCTCTGTCCCCCAACCGCATTTCTCGTTCTTTTTTCCCTCCATCTCTTTCATCCAATCCTCTATTTCCTTCTTCAATTTCTTGATCTGTCTCTCAGGTTCCCCCCTTCGTGTAAACTCTCTCTTCTCCTCTGCCTCTCCAGGATCTGTCCCCTCCCCTCGTGGGTTTGCCTCCCGGGCGCCCCCTCCTCGTCCGTCTTGGGAGATGAAAATGTCGCCTTATTGGATGCCGAGGCCAGAGTCGGGTGATGGGGCTCGGCCAGCGTTGCGCGTTTTCTTCATGCATATTGAGGAGATGGTAATGAGCGCGTTTGCATTGTTGCATGGAAATGCTGCGTTTCCTGCAGTAATTCGGCGTGGGCAAGGGTGGTGCGGGCCCAAGAGAGCCTCACAGTGGGCACCGGGCCTGGTGGTCGCAGCTGATCCTCAACAGATTTGTGGGCGCTTGGGGAGGAAGTGACTCGCCGATCGCCCGGCCGGCCGCCGCCTCCTAGGACTTCTCCACAAAGGCCGGCCGAGCTCCCCTCATTAAAGCCTCTTTACGGGATCCCCCGCTTGGCTCACGACGGTTCCTCGGTGCCCCCAGCTGACCGGCCACTGAGCCCCTCCGCTGATGTCTAGAGGCCTGGGATGGAGCGCCACCAGAAAATTAGTGGCTGACAACGTCGTCTAATGGCAATAAATTGTTTGCGATTCCAAGTGACACGTCGCGGGATCAAACACAGCCGCATTGTGTACCCTACTCCGCTCGCTCCTCGTTAATCTTGGAGGGAGCCTTGGCGTGGCTTGGCCAGGGAAGATTGCGCTCAGGCCCTTCGGCTGTCGGGAGCTGGCCTCAGGCATTCAAGAGGGGCAGTCCCTTTTTGAGAAGATCGGCCAAGCTCAGGAGACACGACCCAGACGTGCCTCTCAAAAAGGTGAAGGTTTATGAAATTCAGGAGCTTCCAGGGCGAGGGCGCAGGCGCCGGCGCAAGGACTGAGTTGAGCTCAGAGGGAACCTACCTGAGCCTTTCTGGGAATCAGAAGGGCATGGAGCCCTAGGTCTAGACACAGTCGCGCAGAGGACCTCTGAACATTAAACGTTTGCGCTAATCCTCCTATGCCCTTCCCACTTCATATTGGGGAAGTCGAAAGCTCTTGGTTCAAAAGCAGAAACGTCAAGGTCTGGCCGTGTCTGGAACTGTCTAGTGTCAAGTTTCCTAAATTTCAAGCTTTCTACCACCTCTACTATTTACTTAACATTTTTCCTTAAGTTGACTCATTGAAAAAACTCAAATACATATATTTGGGAAGAAAACCTGATACTACTACTGTATATTGAAAAGTAGTTGTTACTCGCCAGAAAAGGAAATTGTTAAGGATAAACACAGCTAAACCAAGCAATGTTAATGCATTTTAGCCAAGTTGCTTGCTTGGGAAAGACTTCTAGACGTTCAAGTGTGCGTGTGTGTGTCATTAGCAAGTGTTGGAGGTGTTAAATACTGAATTTTTCTCAGAAGAAACAAGAAAATTGAAAAGAATGTCACTACTTAGTGTTAATTTAATTCTCTGTCCTCATAGTACCTAAAATCATGTTGAGGACCCCAAGAGCTGCACTGGCTTAAGATTTGCAACGGTCATTCTCTGTTGATGAGTACGTAAAAAATTTAGGATAAGAATGTAACATGTTGTTATTATTTACCAAATAATTGTGTTAAGCATTTTCAAACAGTATCACATTTAATTCTCACAATAGGCCTACAAGGGAGAGACTATCCAGGTTGGCCATGTATGGTTGTGCGGGATGTTCACTGAACAAGGGCACCCAGACGAGAGGCTAAGAGGGTCTGAAGTCCAGCCCTTCTGTGCTCACCAAGTTGTGTGCTGTGGCTTGGGGCTGCACTGGAAGAAAAGTAACTTTGCCTGAGTGCACAAATTTTTAATAAAGTTGGGATATGACGTAGTCCTTATCTTAGAGATGGGGAAACTGAGGCTTACAGAGTTTGGCAAAGCCCAGACTGGAACCCTTTCTGATAGT